CTAACGAAATTCCAAGTAGACATAATAGAGAAACATAGGAAAATCATATCCATTTAAAGTTTGATAAATTACAAACAGCATAATATTGAACACCGAACAAACCATCGACAATGGACAAAACTAATCATCAAGGCACTACAAAAGGCTCCAGACAGCCAAACAATTTGAATATTCACACTGAATATGCTTTAGACACGGTAAGACTTATGGCTCAAATGTTGAAGAAAAGTAAAAAAAGGGGGGGGGGAGCACTGCCTAATTATAAGTCAACAAAATGGGATTTATTTTTTCAGAAATTGAGGCACCGGTTTGGGTTTTCAACAATTGGGGCACCGAATTCAGTGTCCCAATTTTTTTATTGAAATAGAAATAGGATTAACTACAAGATTAATCCCTAAATTTCAACTATAAATACCCTAACCCATTTAGCTTCAAAATCATCTCAAATCATTTATTTCTCCGAATACTAGAGAGTTTTCTTGTGATTTGTGAGTGTTTTGTAAACACCTGTAAATTTTCTCTTAGTAAAAGATCTGCAGCAGTCCGAAGACGTAGGCAAAATTGGTTGAATTCCGTTATCAATTTCGGATATTATTTTTCGGCTTTTATTTCGCATTCTCATTAATCTGGTTATAAGGAAATTACTTGTATTCGGTTAACATCAAATACAAGTTTCAATAAAAAACATAAATGGGAGTTGTGGAAATTTCCAATCAAATCTGAGCTTCGATCACATCATTTAAACTTAAACAATCATAAATAAAATTATTCAAAGACAAACTTGACTGCAAGAAGAAACAATTAGCGAAAAGCCTCTCATTTTTCGACGAGTGATCTGTTTTGCTTCAATAACTAAGCAAAATACTTTGAAATTTAAACGCAGTAAAATTCAGGGATACTACAATAGGCATAAATAGGCAACGAAAGACATTAAATCAAGTTACTACTTATCAATCAATCATTACGTCCAAAAATCATAATGTAGAACAACATAAATTTTGAATGTCAAGAAGTCACTAACCTGGATCGCACTGTTAAAAAAATTCTGTAACATCTGCAACAAAAAAAACTATAAGAAATATGTTGACACTATTTTTTTCGTCCTAAATATTATTATTATTATTATTGCATTTTATTTTGCAGCCCAATTACAATAAATCTCGGAGCCCAGAAAATCAAGCCCAAACCGGGCCCAACTACAAACGATCATCAGACTCAAATCCAGAACCCGACAGTAGCCCAAGACCCGGATCCAGACCCGTGTCCAGCAAAGACCCCACCCGTGACCATCAAGCAACCACCGAAACCATCATCATCAACCTGCTAATCACTGAAAATCAAACCAAAGTCAAGAAAGTACCTAACCCCAAAAATCACGGGATGATTTCACCGAAACCTGTTATTATCTCACCAAATGCAAAGAAAATATGCAAGAAGAGGACAAGGGGTTTCGGTGGAAAAAAGAAATAAAACGGGATTAGCAGATTCAACACAAAGGGGGGAGGAGCAAGCAAAAAAAAAAACGAAAAGAAACAAGGGAGCATTCATCAAGAAAAAAACAGAGAGATTTGTAAAAGGGTCTTCCCTATCTAGATTTTTTGTTTGGACCAAAGTAATCAATGTAAGGGTTCTACCCATTTTCGAAAAGAAAACAACAAAGAAATACTCATTTTTCAAAAGGTTTTGTTTCATTTTTTATATTCAAATTTTATTGCATGCAAATTTACTTGAGTAAATAGAATTGAAATAGAGAGATAAGGAAGCGTTTACCTTAGAGAGGAGTCTCGTCGAATTAGGTTGCAGTTCATTGGGGGTTTCTAAAAAAAAGAAGAGGGTAACAACTTATTTTTCTCCCATATTCGAAATAAACAGAATAAAGGAGAGGGTCGATTGAGTTTACCTTTGGGTCGGGTATTCCCATTAGATCTCGGTCGGAGTCATAGATGAATACTGTGGAGGGAAGCTTATAAGTCAGAGCTTCTTTCTAGGGCTTTCATGATTGATCAAAGATTGTTGGGTTCTTTAGGGTTTTGATTTAGAGTGGAAGGAAAGATGTGGCGTAAGTTTAGGGGTATACCGATTTAGTGGTGACCAGAGTTCAAACCGAGCCGAAGTTTCGAGGGATTTGGGTTTCAGTTTATTAGCTTTTAGGGGAGGAATTGAAGTTTACTTTGGACATTTAAATCTCCGATGGCCATCGAAATGGAAGCAGCGCCGTTGTTCTGGGGTCTTTTGGGAATGAGCAGTGCTGCATGAGAGTAAAAGGAAGATGGGTAGCTGAGGAAGGAGAGAAACTGCACAAGGGAAGCTTTTAGAAGAAAAGATGGGAAATTGAAAGAGAATTAGGATAAAAATATTACATAAAATAGAATATATCTTAAAGTGCTAAAACAACAGCATCTCGATGGATGCCATATTTTAGGAAAAAGGGAAATTTTTAGTAAGCTCCTTTAGGTTCTTGAATTGTTGTATTTTAGTTCCTGAAATGGATATTTCCGAGCCTTTTAATTTTGTCTTCGTAGTTTATACGTGTTTATTTTAGTATTTGTTAGGTTATTTAAATTTACAGTTTTTTTTTACATTTGATATGCAATCTTTTATTATTTTATTTTAATCCTTTGTATTTTCTTTGGTAATGTTACGTTTGCAAGGTCTGAAGTTTGAATTTTTTTTGTTGCTATCTTGTTATTTACTTTATTCATGATATGATCATTGAATTCGTTCTATTTATGTTTTAGTCAATGTTTAAGTTTTTTTTACACGCATGTATGTAAATATAGTTTAGGTTTGTTTTGAGGGCTTGCTAACCGTATGTTTGAATCTTTATGATACTTGTGTGTGTAATTTGTTATTTTAAGTATGTTGTTCATACGCATAGGTTTAGGTGTAATTTATTTGTTATATGCATGTTAGCCTCGTATGCATAATCTGACCTAATTACATAATTATATTAAAGGTAATATTCGATTATTTTAAAATTATCAAAAGAAACTTTCTAATATGTGAATATTTAATCTATTTTAATATATAGCATTAAGTATTAATACTAGAACTTACATTTTAGATTTTAGCTCATAGGTTTCTTAATTTTTATAATTTGAAAATTTAAGTTAGAAAAAACCTTAATTTATTTTTATTTTAATTAGGACAAATAAAATTTTGTTTGATTACATTGTTTTTACAAATCTAAGACATTGTTTATTTATTAAGGAATTAATAGTATATCTCTCGCGATTGTGCTAAGGGGATGACTACTAGTAATTCATTAAATAAGTCGACATCATTTTCAAAATCACATCATGTTTTTAAAAATGAGGCAATATTCGATTATTAGGCACAATAGTTGATCTCCCGCATTTACGCTCGGGGCGAATGCTATCGGTCTCGATAAACGAATACCCTTTTCAACTTTGCATCCTTAATGATTTTTAAATTAAATAAAGATCGAACTCTAAATTTCTGATTTTAAATATAGGGTAATCAATTAGGTACAAATTTTTGGGCGTTTGTGGGGTGTTAACTGACTCCCGAACCTAATTTCTGATTTTTCGCATACATCCAAACTCGATATTTTAATAAAAACAAAATGTTTTATTAAAATCATTCGATTTTTATGGTGTTCCAATCATACCTTAAATGATTGGTGGCGACTCCTCATATTTCAAAAATATTTTCAAAGAAAAAACTGAGTTCTTTCTCCATTCGGGCAAAAAAACGGTTATGAGAAAATAAAAATAGAAAATAATAACCCTAAAACCTCAAAAGAAAAGAAGAAAAAGAAGAGACAGGTGGTTAAGGCTCTGATGATGCCGGCACGACGGCCTTTGTAATCGTCAAAGACATCCTCAACTGTTCTGACGTTTTGCAGAGTTCCTCCTTCCATTATCCAAACACTCCCGAGTCCAGTGAGGTTAACGGAGAGAACAAAAGGAGAGAGCGATAATAAAATTCGAAAAATCTAAAATTCAGAAACAACCCAAATACATTGGAGAAGGAGTACTGTCAAATAATATATATTAGCGTAGTATTAGCAGTTGGATGAAAAACAAACACTTCAGTTTTATTTAACTCTATTTGTTTTTAATAATAACTGTTTATATATAATAAGGTCGGATTTTGTGGGTTTTATTTTAATTTTGTCTGACATGGATGAAAATGACGTAGTCCACGTTGCATGAAATGTTTGGTTGAAATTTTGCCACGTTTGGGTATTTATTGGGATTATTTGTAGTAATACTTATTGCGGATTTGAAACCCGCATTCAAACTTAAATTTTAATTAATTAAAGTTTAGGAAAGGTTAGGGTTGCAAGATGGCGAAGGATGGAGGGAACAGTTTTTTGGGTCGTCAAAATTGAAAGATTCATTCTATTTTATTTTATTTCTATGTTCGGTAATGTTTCATCTGTTTTAAATTTGAGAGTAAAAATATAATTTTTATTTGATTTGAATTGATATGAATATTTTTTTTATTTGATAAGATATAAGATAATTGAAAAAATATATTTAAAGATACTTTGTGATAAATATTTTTATAGATAAGGGGAGGAGGGGTATCATATTGATTGTTTAGGTCAAATTCGATATTTATATTCTAAATCTAATTATTTTTTTCTATTTTGATGTTTTCATTCATAAAATTTTACCTTAAATTTGACTTTAAAAAAAAAAGTAAACTTATAAAATCATGTTAGAACCCGTTGAATTCAAATATTTTAACTATCTAAAAAGTAACAAGATTAACTCTAAATTTGAACATCAAAACTAAATTTAAATTAAATTAAATCTTATTTTTTAAAATTTGAGATTGGCTCACTAACTAATTTTATTCAATTAAATTTGCTTATTAAAAAAATGAGATCATGTAGGTTCGATTTCGAATTTAAGATGTTTAAATAGGGAAAAAACAAGATATAAATTGTTGGTCAAAATGGTAGCAACTAGTTTCTTCCAGATGAACTGAATTGAACCTTTCATATCAATCCCTATGTCATTAACGTAGTAGATATTGTTAAAAGAGAATGAGATTTCAAGATGCCACAACAGTTTCCATAAACAAATGCTGAAACAAGAAAGAGCAACCGTCCCATACAACAACTGAGAAGCAAATAGTTCAAACATATCATCACCAACCATACATCTGCATTCTTTTTCTTCGTCTTAAAAGTTCTTTTATGTCATACAAATGGAACCGGCAGAATTGGTATGGTATTTCATGCCTTCGTCAAAGTCAGTCATCCCGTATACTAAAATGGAATCTGTGTTCTTTCTCGTTTTTGTGCTTTTAACCAGCTTATGTTTTGTGTGCCAGTAAAAGAAAAAAAAAATCAATGATCAACGACAACAGCGGCGTGTATGTTTAAAGAGAGCTTCTACCAGCTGCAGCTTCAAAATAAAAGGGACAAAGTTTGAGTTCCAGGCTGTGAGCCAAATAATAAAATCTCAAAAGGCTACACGCAATCCTGCCAATCACCTCCTCAGGGAATCTGAAAACAACATTTGGCACCAATCAATAAGAGAAAAACGATAGCGAGGGATGGGAATGGGGACACAAACAGGGAAAGTAACGATAGAAGTTCCGGCTACTTTGGAAATAAGAGAAAGAAAGGGCAATGAGAGAGATAACAGTAAAAATGAAGCAAGTTTTATAGGTGCATTATTCCCTGGCATAAGAATGGCTATACTTGTTTGCCTTTTTGAATCAATGTTTATGATTGTCCACCCAGATGGACTTTGAAATAGGCTGGATGATAATTTTGGGGTAATTTTAAGACAGCGTAGGTTTGTATCTAATTTCTAAACCTCCACATGTACAAAGTAAAAGAAAAAAAACATTTAAAGATTGGAGCAGAACAGTTCTGGTTGAATATAGTATTAAACACTATAGCCCTAGTCTCATGGCATTAAAATATGCTTACAAAATAATATATTCTTCCATGACTAGGTCATAATTTCAAGAGATGGGGGGAATCATAATCCAGAGGTCAAAATAAAATCTTATCAATATCATCTAGCGCTAGTTATATTGTGAAAAAGCTGAATTACCTCGTCCGTTTTTCGGCACATGTTTTTCAAAGAACTGCTGAATTGTTCTCCAGTAATGGTCACCACCAGCTAACCAAGTGTCCATGTGCATGCCAGTAGGGAATTCTACAAAAAGGCATTGCCTGTTATGAGCTGCTGCTTTAGCATACAGCATTCGCATATGGGATGGCGGAACCATCTCGTCTTGCAATCCAGAAAGAAAAAGGATAGGCTGCTTGACCTGCAGATGTCATGTTCAAAATAGCAAGATGCATCAACTAATGAGGTGACCAAGAGCCAAATACACACAAGGTAGAACAAGCATCATCTTCCTGTCTTCCTAGTTACAGATACAATAGAAAAACTCAAATAGGTCGAAAATGCCAACCATATGTATTAGTTATCTTGTACCTAACCTAAACAAATTCACTCATTTCCTTAATGATTCACTCAAATAAGATACTAATAGATATCAGGAGTTCATCATATTTATGCTACTAATATAGCCTAAAGATTCAGAAAGTGAAGTTCAATTTCCAACCAACATGTAACTACCTGGCCAATGATCTCAATGGTACTCCAGGGAGAGCGGACAAGACAATTTAGAACTTTGGGACCTTTGGTATCAGGACCTCCAATAAACCACTTCAGGAAAGGCAATAAAACTCTAGCCATGTCCAGAATTGATGTGAAAGTGTTTTCTAGTATCAATGCAGCAACCTGAAATTTAAAGGCAAACCAAAATGGCATACTTAAATTGTTTGTAGAAATCCCTTCTACAATCAAAGATGAACCTTATAGAGTGACATGATCATACTAGTGGAAGAAACCCACGCATAAAACAAATAAACAATAGTAATCAACTTGGGGATATAACAGTCCAAAAAGATGAAAGTTAAAGGCTAACTTAGTTGAATAACAATGATACCTTAAAGTGATTAAATCTCCGTAACGCAACTATATTTCCCAGAAAAGGTGTACTCATTCAATGTGTTGTTGCTCAAGTGCACGTTTTCAGTTCTCCCATAATCCTTCAAACTAACTTAAAACTATATCAAATTTCTCAAGCACATGCACGTTGATTCAACATCTCCAGTTAGACGACAAGGTTAGCAAGTATATGCGCCTTATGCAATTAAATTCTTGCCAGAATATTGATACAATCATGCCATGTCATGTCATTTTATGTTAAAACAGACAAAATTGAAGTCTAACCAGCTATTGTCGAACACTATATCAAATTTCTCAAGCACATGCACGTTGATTCAACATCTCCAGTTAGACGACAAGGTTAGCAAGTATATGCGCCTTATGCAATTAAATTCTTGCCAGAATATTGATACAATCATGCCATGTCATGTCATTTTATGTTAAAACAGACAAAATTGAAGTCTAACCAGGCTATTGTCGAACATGCATAACATGTTAAACCATTATGTTGATCTCCTATTCAGTATGAGTTTGAACCACTGTATTACACAATACATTTCTGATTCTATATCTCTTTAGCCTCAGAAGAAAGAACAGTAAACGAAATAATCACAGGAGGGATACCTTATCAGGATTGTTTTTGGTGAGTACAGATCCAACAGCACCCCCCAGTGATCTTCCAAAGACTACTATTCTATCTGAGTCAATATCAGTCCGCTGGGAGAGATGATCCAGTGCAGCCTAAATTAAAAAAAATGAAAGTAGAAAGAAAGAAATAGTTAGAGTAGCTACTTTTTAAGGTTGTAGCCTTATGAATCTAGACTGACAGAGTCACAACCTGAGCATCGTTAATAATTCCATGCTGAGAAGGATAACCATCACTTGCTCCATAACTGTTTGAGCAATCAGATGTTAGACTTCATTCAGTAGATAAGTTGTATGCTAGGAGTATTCAAGGCCATGATGCCAACAACGTAAGAAAGCTAAAACAGAGAAGCATCATATTAGATATTTAGGACACACACCCTCGATATGAAAGCATGAAGACATTGCACTGTAACCTCTGTAGCATTATGCGAACCATTTCTAGACGGTGAGCAATATCTACAGATCAATGGTCAAGGTGGCCCAAGGACCTTGGGTTTTGTAAAGAGAAAAATATTTTGCAAATTTGGACCCACCAAAATGTGAAATAAAATTTATAATGCAAAATAGATAAATAAATAAAGTAGATGAAAAGGATACTTCCAGCGTTCTCTTGAAAAAACAGGATGGTTGGGCCTGCAAAATCAACAGTGCTACTTTCTAAGCAATTAAATGGTGTTGCAATCTTAATAGCAGTGCAACAAGATGACACGATGTATTGCAAGACAACATCTTAGAATATGCTTAAGCTATGCCTAACTTAAATAATTTCTCAGTATTTAGTGATTTTCATTTTCTCCCAAGAGCTTAATGTTTTTTCCAACTTTCAAAGACGTGTAATAGCCAAATCCAGAGCCTAGAGCGAAAGAAAAAGAAACAGATACGGTGAGCATTTTAAAGTGAAAGATACAAGTTGTGCATAATTCATAGTCAAAACCATCACACTAAATCCATCTAACAGATCACATGTCTCCCAAAAGTTTTCACCCAACTTTAAATGAAATTCATATGCTTAACCTCAACAATTATTTCAGTTCTCATTTAGTTCAAATAAACTTTTAGCATTTAGCATTTGTTTCAATCATTCTATCTTCAAAGTTCAAAAGGAGCAGCAACAATGATAAACGCAAACCATACAACCATTCAAACAAACAACAATTAAAATTCTTCCCCAAAAAATGAAAAATCTCAACCTAAAGGCAGCATTCAATCAAACAAAGCCTTAAACCAGTAAAATAAACCATTAGCTCCGAAAACCAAATCCTAATCCCCTTAAAAATAACTAAAACCAGAAGAACTACTATAATTCAGTTTAAAAACATAACAAACAAAACAAGATAAAACGCTAAAAAAAGGCGGATCAGGAGTGAGCTTTACTAAAAACCATATTAAACTCTTCATGTGCAAGCCAAGCAGCTTCAAATCTAAATGGACGTTTTTCTTTATCCATAGGAATCTCCATTTCCGTGTTTACCAGTAACGGATTATGGTCAGAGTAAACTCTCGTAAGGGTAACAACTCTGAGATTTGGAAAGAAATCAATCATATCAACATTATACAACATTCTATCGAGTCTTTCCTGAAGGATAACTCTCCCTTGAATATGTCTAGTCCAGGTAAATTTACTACCAACGTAACCCGCGTCCATCAAATTACATCTATTCCAGTTATCTTGGAATTTTAATATTTGATCCATACAGTCCATTTTGCTGCCCACACGCTCATCCAACGTGGCAAAATCATTAAAATCACCCACAATCATCCAAGGCTGAACAATATTCCTAGTATAAGTGTAGATATCCTCCCAAAATTCCTCTTTCTTAGTCGAGTGAGGTTGAACATAGGCAGCTGATAACAACCATCTCTTACCATTTTCTTTTATGTTACAGTGAATAACCTGGTCAGTATGTTGTTGAACTGTGACCTCATGAAAATTAGTATTCCAAAGAATAATTAATCCACCCCGAAGACCCTGAGCAGGGACCTCAAAGTGAGCATCGAATTTCAATTTCTTCTGAAGCGAAGAACCAGTACCTGCCTTAGCTTTCATTTCTAGGAGGCAAATAATAGTTGGGTTTTCATCCCGAATCAATTCTCTACAATTTCTAATAAAATCATTGTTTCCTACCCCTCGACAGTACCAATAAATCAACTTCATTAAGGTAGATTCTTGTTTGTTTGTGCCTCTATGGCCATCATCTCGTTATTCCTTATTGTTTCTTCCTGGCCAGCTGGTTCGGCTTCCATATCCAGAACATCTTGTTGAATGATATCATCTCCAACATCCATTAAGATCTTATCTTGTTTTCCCAACATTTTTTCCACTTCCATAATTGAATCTGAAACATTACTTTGGTTACTCTCCTTTCTCTGATTTTTCTCTTGGGTTTTATCCTGTTCATCTCTTTTGGCATTCAGCATAGGGGCTTGAGATTTATCATATCTTGTCCTGGATTTCCCTTCTCCTGAGCTCCCTGCCGAATTGTTGTCTTTATTCCTATTGTTACTTTCTTTTTGTCTGTTAGATTTCTTATCCTTTGTAGATATTCCAGTCTCACTAATATTTTCCTTAACTCCTTAAGATCGATTTTTATCTTCCTTTCCATTATTGGTTCCTTCCTCATCCATACTGTTTAAACTTTCGAACTTTTGTTTTGTCGTACTTCTTGGTTTCTGCTTCTTTGATTCTTCGGGTTGATTCTAGGTCCACGCTGTTTCCTTTGAACCAACATCCAAGGTCCGTACTTGTCCTGGCTAACCTCTTTCTCTTCCTGTTGAATTTTCTCATTTTCTTCCCCTTCTTGCAATTCTTGTTGGTCTTGATTCTTAGTATCTCTGTTAACTTCCTTATTCCTGGGATTTTCCTTCTGATTTGCCAGACAATCCATGGCTCTATGACCCACAAGGCCACACTTGAAATAGATAGAATGAAGTCCCTCATATTCAATGTTATAACTCTATTACCTATACGTACTTTAGACAATAAAGGGGTATTAAGGTCGATTTCAACACATACTCTTGCAAAGCGTCCTCTTATTGACCAAGTTGTGTGATAATAAATTTTCAAGGGTTTTCCCACAAGTCTTCCTAAATTACACATAACACTTTCCTCAAAATATTCAATTGGGAGACTAGGGATATGGATCCAGACTGCCGTTGAGGGGATGCTTGCATTAGTTGCCACGAAATTGGGACGTCATCTTTGCACCATGATGTAATGATCCATTATTTTCCAAGGGTCTTCCATAAGAACCTTTGCTCTATCTACCATGTTTTGGAATTTAATTGCATAAAACTCATAACCAAGATCGATACACTCGAATTCACCCTCTAATTTCCACAGGTTTGTCACTCTGTTGATAAGGGTTTTGTACGCCATAGTTTTGCCCAGAATCTTGATAATGAGCGCCTTTCTCCAAAGTTTTCTCAGCTTTTCTTTTAAATCTTAAGGGATCTTGATTGTCGGAATATCATCCCCTTCGCAATCTTCATCATCATCATAATCAACGTCTTCGACTTCAGTCGAAACATGACAATTACCCGACAGAAAAGAGGAGTTTATTGCAGTATCCATCCATGATTTTCTTGGAGTCCCTTCTTCAGAAACTCTATCACCTTCTGTTGTTCAACTTCTTTTGAACTTCCGTTCCACTTTTCCTCCCCCTTCCACCGCCTGGGTCACCCCGGTGACCGGCGAAGACTCTTCATGCATAGGACCAAAACGGCGTTCTCGAAATATTAGGATTCTTTAGAAGTTGTTCGTCTCCTTCTTTATTATCATTCTCCGATCTCCGGACATTCGACATATGGTTTTAGATCAGTTACGCTAAAAGACTCTTTAATAATAACGGTAGATACATGCCATTCTCGAAATTGATTAAGCATCTTTTTAAAAAATGAATATTGATAAATTACGAATAGAATAATAAAAAGTAATCAAAATATAATATATCTAAAATTTTATATAATATTGATATAATAATTGTTCAATATAAAAAATATATTTTAATTTAAATTCAAAGTGGTAAAAATTCATATCATTCTAAATCTGAGTTTATTTAAATTTTTTAAAATTAAATTAATTTAATTTTAAAAATTAATAATTTATACTATAAGTTATTGAAATTCTATTAGTGAAATTTAAAGTATTAAATCTAAAATTCTACATTAAAAATCACATGATTTGGAAATACTTTGTATCTCTTAAATGTGATTTAGTGTTTTCTGTAAATATAGACTATAAAGTTAAGTGTGGGTTGCCATAGAGATGAGTTTTGTTGTGCCTGCCTTTTGAGCTGTCCAATTATTTTCTCATTTATGATTAATAATTGTGCCAGGGTTTTATTCTATTTTCCTTTTAAAAATGTAAAATATTGTAGTAATTACATAAAAGGAAATGCTAACAATAATTAGATTGATAGTTAGTAAAAAAATTATTCTATTAATTAATAATTGATTTATTTTATGGCAAAAACAAGTTGAAACTTGTAATATTTGTATTTCCATAGAACAAGAATTAACTTGGAACTCTCAAAACAAGTGCGTGCTGCCACGGGGGTCCAAAATGCAACGAATATATTCACATTATTTATTTATTCATTTTTGTTTAGCCTTTGGTAACCTGTATTGAAGTTATAATATTTTATTTTTTATATAATAAGGTATAAAACATATACTATTTATTTAGTGTCGTGATATCGGTTCAAGAACTAAAACTATAATATACTTAAAAACGATTTTATATATGAATATTCAATTATGTAATGTAATTATTAGATTAAATAAAAATAATAAGAATAAATTGCTCTAGGGTTTTCCTAGTTTTTTTTGTCATTTGACATGTTCTCTAGGGTTCTTCTTAGTTTCTACAGGTGTAATCCGTGATTTGTTTGTTTTATTCTAGGTTTTTTAGTGTGGTTTTCGTAGTTTCGGTGATGGGTGACATAGAACAAGTGACGGTTGGTTTGTGCCTTGATGATGATGAGGAGGAGGCGTTGTCGTGTAACACCCCAACCCGTACCCGACCTGAATACGAGTTCGAGATATCACATTGACTTTTTAAACCTTTACTTTTACAAAATAGCATATCATTTGGACTTATATTAAAAAAATACAATCATATATTGTTGAATTATGTTGGCTAAAACCAATTTGAAAAAAAATACGTTTTCATGAACAGTACCGTGAACAGTTCTGTGAACTGTACCGAATACTAAAATTTTTCAGAATGCTGGAGGGGAACTGATACCCTGCTACAGTACCTCGGTAAAACATGTATAAAACTCATAAAATTTAAAACGTTCATCATTATACATTTACCATTTACATATATACGTTTAAAACATTTCAAAACTCAATTAGAGCATATCCAATACAAATCTTTTTTATTACATGCCAACTAAATTCTATTTAACAAAATACATGTAATTCGATCTACATTTCTGATCTGATCTTCGGTAAGGAGAACTGACATGTCTTGTTCCTCTTTACTTCTATTTTCGCTTTCCAAACCTACGTGTGAAATAATCACGCTAAGTCGATGACTTAGTGAGGCATATAAAACATATTATATTACTTTATTCATATAAATGTATAAATAATTAATACTATCATATCATATAAAAGCATATCTCCCATTGTATAACCAATGCACACATATACATATATCATTAACATACTTATCAGTACTCATATTACTATCACTAATTCCTTATTATCATGTAACCATATACTGAACCTTTTTATACTCACCATCGGGCATCCATGTCATTTCACAACAGAGCACACATAGTATCATATCAAGTTATTTATTATCTTTAAAGTATATGTATTAGCCCATGTAAACTTTTTAGAACTTAAGGTATGTGAGTACATTGAGGTTGTGCACCACTATGTTGTCATCACAGCTCGTATAAATGTCCCGAAGAACCAGTCCATAGATTCTGAAGAACCTAGGTAATCCGTGTATATGTCCCGAAGAACATAGGTAAACAATTAATATGTCCCAAAGAACATAGGTAAACCCTCGACCCTTGGCATGCCAATTATACCCCTAGCTCTCATATCACATAACATGGGCATTATCGTTTATAACATTTCACATTACTTATTTATATCCTTTCTCTTATAACACATATCTATTCTTTTCAGTCACATATCACATGTACGTGTAATCATTGATCTTATAATCACATGCTTCTTCTCTTCTGTCACATACCACATGTATGTGTAAACATATATATAATATCATATAACATGTATCACAAATGTATGTATTCACATAGATCATTTCATATGGCTTTTATCATTTCTCATTTGTTCATGTAACCTTGCATGTCATATCAAGTAACATATATCATATGTTTGCATTTTCACGTAAGGATGTAAATCATGTAACATATAATAACATACATCCATTTCTATGTATTAATGCAGACATAGTAATCACATAATATTTTAGAAGTTACTTCTTACCATAGTAACTCCATCACTGGCTCATCGTAAGTCAATGTTCGTTCAATAACATAGGTACAAATTAATTTGCACTCACCTTAGTCTTGCTTTGATTCGATCCTAATTCTTTGATTGTTCCGAAACTTGTTCACGTTCAATGTCTACATAACCATACATTTTAAAGTAATTATCAGATATATACACCTTGTGTCGCAACCGTCTTTCAGTTCGGCCCCGGAATTGGGCTTCGACTTAGAAAAATATGGATTGGATTCGCCACCGATCATTTATTTAAAAATAAATGGGTTGATCGGATACCCTATTTTCTTACCTGATCTGTGTCTTACCAGAAATATGTCGGGCTCGGGAGTCGGTTACGGTCAAGGAAGGATTAGCACCCTTGAACCGTCGGTAACTACGTAATTTCCAGTTGTCTTAATTAAGAAAAATAACAATTTAAATTAAAAGGTAAAGTTTCGATCCTAATTACTTACCCTTGATTGATTTGAAAATATCCTTTAAAAAAATCGAGAAATGTGTTAGATAAACAAGGTAAAGAAAAAAATAATATACAAGGGAAAAATAAAAAATAAAATAAAGAAGTAAGATAAAAAATAGTAAAGTAATAATTATATAGTAATATTTGAAAAAAGGAAAAAAAAAATATATAATATATATATATATATATTATATATATATATCAAGTATTAATAAAATAAATAAGCTATATATATACACCAAATACTTAAAAATAGAAAAGCTACCTTTTATTTTCCTTTTCGAATCCTTTACAATAGTTTTGCCTTGTATCTTCCCGTGCTTTCCTCTATGTTTTGTGTAAATCGTGTGTTACAATGGTGAGTTACAATGGCTATTTATAGTACTTATGGATCCTATCTTTAGGAATTTAAATCTTAGTAGAACTCTATCATATTTTTAGGAGTTTGAATCCTAGCAAAATTTTATCCTATTTTTAGGAGTTTGAATCCTAGTAGGACAAAAATATGTGTTGACAGCTGCCCCTCTTTGCCCATAGTCGTGTAACGGGGATAGGGCAAAGATTGAAAGACACACTTTTCGTTCAGTGGAGTTGAAAATTAACCCTGATGTTTCAATAACTCCCTGTCGAATTGAGTTACGGATGACTCCTCCATCATGAAGTCGAGTTCATCTTGAAATGATATGAAATTGAAGCCGTAGTTCGGAATTTGAATCAGCATGTGGCTTCCCGTTACCCTTCGGTCTTCTTCTCAGTTTAAAGACCTTGGATCGGAATCGAACTCAGAAATCTTCATTGACAGATAGCTTTTTCTTGACTTAAGCTATGTTGTTTGAAAATGGTTGCTTGTCACTAAGGCACGGCTAACCCAGGTCATCTTCTCGACTTGAAAACCTCGACTATAACCGGAAAATAGTGCGATTGATGTGTCATCGA